TAATTGGAAAATCCCATTTGTCCGGGTTTGTCCATGGAAAAATCCCAAATCCCAAACGTTTGTGCGGCATGTATAGGTGAGCTCAGGAAAACCTGCCCGCAAGAACTATCATTTTCCTATAATCATCTCTTTCATCATGAACTTTTTTGCAGATAATTTCCAAGAAGGGTTAGTAACCGATCTTGAAACAGGGGAATGCAAGGATGTCGTGATACAAAGCTACGTGGAAGAAGTATTACAGTTACACTGATTTTCAAACAATAAACATTCTCATGATTGCAATTATATTATTGGCTAACTTATGTGAATCTATAACGATAATACTTACTATATAAGCGCGAAATAACACGCAAGGGTGTAATTTTGAATTTTGGCCTAATTCGGGCCATTATTCAAAACAACGCCCTTGCACGTTATTTGAATACACATAATATTAAAATCCACCTACGTACTCTAGTTTAGGACCCCATAAATACTTACTATATAAGCACGAAATAACACACAAGGGTGTAATTTTGAATTTTGGCCTAATTCGGGCCATTATTCAAAACAACGCCCTTGCACATTATTTGAATACACATAATATTAAAATCTACCTACGTACTCTAGTTTAGGACCCCATAAAAACTTTAGAACCCTTACCAACTTGCAATTTATACAGGATATTACATTTTTATTTTATTCAAATCTATAATGAAGTACTTTACAAAAATATGCAAATTTGCAACTTTAATGCTACTCGCAATTAACTATGTATAAATAACTATATATATATTGTCGTTAAACAAATTGTACTAAAATTTCTTTAAACTTTGAACGAAGATATCTCAGCAACTATTAGGCCAAATTCGATAAACTTTTTTTATTTGAATTCTATGGATCCATAGAATTGAAATAAAAAAATGTTTATCAGATTTGACTTTGTGGTTGCTGAGATATCTTTGTTTAAATTTTTAAAAAACTTAAAAAACATCTATCAATACATAAGCAAATTTTTTCCAAACTTTGAGCGAAGATATCTCAGCAACTTTCAGATCAAATTTTTTTATATGGATGCATAGAATTAAAATAAAAAAAATTTATCATGTTTGGCCTGGTGGTTGCTAAGATATGTTTATTCAAAAGTTTAGAAAAAAATTTGGTGCATTAATAGATGTTTTGAAATTTTTAAAACTTTGAACAAAGATATCTTAGCAACTACCAAGTCAAATCCGATGAATTAATTTTTAGAAATCAAATAAAAAAAAAGTTCATCGAATTTAACTTGGTGATTGCTAAAATATCTTTGCTCAAAGGTTAAAAAAATTTGCTGCAGTTTGAAAATTGCTTTAATCTAGATCAGGTGCTTTTTAGTAACCGGGTGAGCCACACTCTAGAGATAAAAAAGTAGTATATTCTATATATAGATAAATGTTTCTTTAGAAAAATACATCTATATAGAGGTCTGACTCGGTCAAAAAATTTGCATTCGAATATTCATTCGTTCAATCTAATTATATTCGAATATTCATTGAAAATCTAACTAAATATTCGAAATATTCAATGAATATTCACTGAATATCTGAATATTGTAATTTGAGTATTTAATGAATATTTTTTGTAGCTTAGTATTCACTGAGTATTCAGTAAATATTTTTTGTGGCTTAGTTAAGTATTCACCAAATAGAGTTCGAGTATTCGGTAAACTTTTTTTTCTTAAAGTGCTTTTTAATATATTCATCCCTAGTTCATATTTCTTGTTGCTATCACTTATTTACTACACATAATTTTTGAACTACTGCAACGTTACATTTTTTTTATCATATTGTCGTTCATCTTTTTTTTATTGTCTATGCTGATTTGGTTGATAAACAATCTTTTATTCAAGTTGATTCATTCAAAAATTTCTACATTATGACTTTTTGGCATTTAGTTCGTGTTCGTTAAACAAGATCTATAGCAGATTACTAGTTATGTTTTGTGTAAAAACTTCATTAAACCTTATTTTATCATTTGAAAGAGCAAATATTTAGAGTTTATGTAATGGAAACTATAAATATTATCATTTAGGTTTTTTTTATATTAAATTATTATTAAACATATTTTGTAGCTTGCTTGTTTGACCTTTAACAATTTAAGTATTGATTTATTTGTATATGTTTCTGTATTTAGAAATACAACATATTCTATTTAAAAAAAATGTTACTAATGTTTATATTTTATTTTTAGCTTAGAACTCGACCGCTCATCTTCTAACCTTTATACCCTTTATAAAATATTTGCTTGAGCGTAAATATTGTCAAGTTCATTATTATTGCACTTTAAAAACAACATTTGTTCGAATAATCTAGGCTTCAACATTGTTCTTCTGATAGTCATTGTATTACTTGCATCACTGAAAAGCCTTTCGCTTGGAGTTGAAGTGCGGGTGTTGCGAGATATTGCCTGGCAAACTTACTAATAGTGGGGAAAAAAGCCTTTTGAGAAGTCCACCAGTCAAATGGGTTTGATTTGTAGTAGATTTCAGGTAAAGAAAGGTAATTATCAACTTCATCATTTGATTTGTCAGAGGTATCTTGCATAAAAACTGTTTTTAAAAATAATTTTTGATAAATTTGACGACCTTGGTTATTTTGATCTTCATTAGGACTAAAAGATTTAGTAGATGAAGTTGTTGAAGATTGATAGAGGGATTTGGCATTGTTATACTTAGTGTGCAGAGCAGTCTCAGCTTCGCGTCGTTGAGATATGGTTGCAAATCGCAACTTTTTACACCTTGGGTCAAAAAGGCAAGCAAGAAATATCTCACCATCAGATAAGTCCCAATAGTGCAAAAGCGTACTATACAAAGTAATTTTAATTTTGTGCCTCATATTTGTAGTATTAGTAGATGTATTTTTCTTTTCTTTAGTCCTTCTTCTTCTTCTTCCTGAGTGTCAACGAATCCAACATCTTCATCAAATGCCAAATCATCTGTTTCAAAATCTATTTCATCGTCTAATTCTTTATCATAAGAGCTTGTAGAACTAGCTAATCTTCGCATTAGTGCCAAAATAGACAGAAATATGTATGAAATAGTAACATGTTCAGAGCCACCAAGCTCCTCTGTGGTTTTATAGAAAGGACCCAAGATTACAACAAGATTTTTCATTAAATCCCACTTGTCTTCGGTTAGTTGTATTTGCTTTAATCTTCTTGCATTTTTTCGGGCTTCGGAAGCAGTAGAGACAGTTAATGTTGTTAAAACAATATTGATGGCATCTCTAAGAAGTAAAAGGCGTTCTCAAGCTAAGTAAGATGAATTCCATCGCGTGGATACATCCATTTTTGCGTGAAGGTATGTTGAAGTTTTCTTAACCATCTATTATTAAAATAATTTAGTATTGGAATAAAAAATTATTAAATAAATATATTATATTTTTATTTGAAATTTTCATCATCTTCTGAGCATCTTCTAGTCATTCATTTTGTTTTGGTGGCATAAAAAAATTGATTAATCGTTTGGCCCATATTATAAGCTTTTCAGCTAGCATCAGACCTTTTCCTACGACAAGTTGTAGAGTATAAGCAGAACAAGGCATCCTTATGATATTGGTTATATTATTGATTGCAGCTTTCATATTGGCTCCATTATCAGTTGTGATCGAATACACCTTTCTTGTAAGACCCCAATCAGAAATTATATTTTCTAGTTTTTCTTGAATAGCATCGGCAGTATGTGGATATTTAACATAAGTTAACGAAAGCAAGATTTCATGGATTTTGAATTCAGGATCAATCCATGAACAGGTGATGCCAAGGTATCCTTGCTTGTTGTGAGCTGTCTACAGATCCGTGGTAAGTGAGCAAGTCATTACACTATTTTGTAACTTTTCCTACATACTTCCGGTATATTGATTATATAACATATATATCGTTTGTTTTATTTTTTTTTCATTTGGCAAAGTAAACATCAGATCTAATTCTTTCACGAACTCACAAAAGAATTGACTTGATACAAGGTTAAATGGCTGAGCATCACAGATAATAAATTTAATAAGAGCTATAATAAGATTGTTATTCTTTGATTTATTATATGGGTAAGTGGTTGTGGTTACCACAAACGAGTCGATTTTAGTTTGCTTAGAAGGCTATATAAAATGATATTAGTTAAACTTTTTAATTGCAAAATAAATTATTAATTTAATGGTTTATTTACGTCATCATGTTCAGATAATTTGGGTCCATTCTTCGTAATACCATAGGCACTTGAAAGATGGTATATCAAATTTGATGTTGAGCTGCTTAATATTTTCAATTGAGACTTGCATTCTTAATCAGAATTACTCAACACAAGACAAACAGCATATGTAATCCCAATATTAACTTTCTTATCAAGTTGTTGGACAGTTTCAATTACTTTTTTTTCTTTGAAGTATTCCCATACCCAGCTTCGTTTTTTTGAGCCACCCTTTCGACCAAATTTAGTTTTTTTAGAGGTAGGATTATTATGAATTTCGATATCACTTCTTGTACTTGTACTTATTTCTGATGTTGAGCTACTCAATATTGTAATAAAACCTGTGAACGTTTCGTCGAATGGTTAAACTGATGAAGTTGATTGTGGGGCATTATTTTCTTCCATAATGTTGAAGATGATAGTTCTTCGAAACTATGAGATGCGGTATGTAATTTAAATTCAACCTTTAAAAGATTATTTTAATAATAGATTTCTGGGTAATACTTTATGTTTTGCTCTTGTTTAATTAATTGAGGTGTCTTACAAGTATCAAGATAATAGAATGCTATTTATAAAGTTTTATAATTCAAAAGAGCTAAGCTATTGAATTATTATGATTTAAACTCAAAAAAAAACTTTCAATTATACTAATTACACACTATCTATACAGATAACTTATGCATAGACTTAATATATATAGTTGTGCCTATACATAGAAATCTAAATTATTTTTGAAAAATTACATTTTTGGCAAACATTTTGGCATTGCCAAATTTTTATATGAAACCCTTCGAAATAACTATATTGTATGGTGTATTTTGATGAAAAGAGTTTAAAAAATTTCAGCAATAATTTCGGCAAATATAAAAATTAATTTCAGTACTATATAAGACTAATTTCGGCTACCTAAATGCCGTAATTACTTTTTTATTAAGATGGGCAATTTAGGCACCCATGTATAGTTGTGTCATATATGCTTTGATTGTTCATACACATATACTTGCATGACTACGACTAATATATGGGGCCTTTGCCTTGAAAATCATGTTATGGGACATAGTAAATCATATGTTCCATAACTTGATTTTCAAGGCAAAGCCCCCATATACTAAATCATATAGATAAGTCTTTTTTATTTTTCATTCAGCATTCTATGTTAATGACCAACGCCGTTTTCTGATTATCTTAACTATTTCTCTTCTTTAACATGTTTTAGCTTCCCAAAAAATCTTATAATGGCTGCAGGTATGCTAGGTTTTACAACTCTGGGTTATGTGGCTATCTAAAGCTGTTAAAAAAAAAAGCTACTTTAAATCCCAACACTGATTTTAATTCTAAAACTATTATGGAGTCTGTTGATCCGATAAGCCTTATTAGGTGAATGATGCATACATCACATCGAAGAGAGTTACATGCACTTAGAAAACTGCAGGTATGAATGATTCAGATGATAAATGAATGAGTAAAATTTTTTTCTTTATACTAAATTTACAAACAATACTGACTATTGTTATGATTAAGAAATTGGGATTGAAATAGATAAAACATCAATAGGCAAGCAGAATAGGCGATTGCTAGCTCCCAATATAGAATTGCAGCAGATAACTAAATTTGAAGAATAGCTTTGAAAGAGTATTACTAAATTGTTGCGAAATAACGCCTATCTGCGTGTTATTTAAGTATATGCACGTCATTTAGAGTACGTGTATGGGCATCATTACAAGACAAAGATTGTTATATCTAGTTATTTTTTGAAGCTCTAATACTGGGTGCGTGTTATTTTAGGACGTGTATGGATATTATTTTGAAATCATGCATGCCATTTTTATAGAATGCAATTTTTAAATAACGTTCATGCTGTTATTTCACAACAATATAGTATAGCATTTTTCAAATTATTAAACCCTGATAATCATTCTACAACTTTTGAGATTAACTTCAGGTTTGAATGCTTCGAATTACTCGCTTTGGCTAGAGCTGGGATCTGTTAAATATTCATTATAATTATTCAATAAATTTACACAGGGTTTTCGTAATTAAATGTTCACTTGTAATTGAATATTTATTTATTTTTAACCGTGGGTATTTACAAATTCTAGCTCTAGCTTGGCTACTATTTTCGGACTGGAGTATTGCAATTTATTTATTAGAGCGATTCTTTACTATTAATCATCAACATTTGCAAGATCTCTTAATGAGACTTGCCCTATATACTAAATTATAGATTATCATACATTAGATTACTACATATTAGACTTTTTGCAAATTCGTTTCACGCTATTCATGCAATGCAGTTATGTTACATAGACTCGATCCTAATTACTTTGATACTACAAGTTTTCGAGAACCTGATTAACCTATTATACTGGGACTTTATGATAAAGAGAGTAAGTATAAGTGTAGCTAATCTTAATGTTATAGAGATTTACTAAACTTTTTTAAAAGTTAATTCGTGATCCATCTAAAAACCAGTGAAAAAGTATAGTAAATCATGAGAAAATTTACTATTGTTTTTTGCCTTTTTTGAAATCTGGAGTTTTCCCAAGGACAGATCGGCTTTCTACTAAGCAAACCTCTCTTCTACATTAAGTAAAAGTTGTAGAAGAGAGAATTTCGGTCATAATGACAGTTAAATCATTAAAATCGGCCCGGTGGATCATGAGATATGAGTATTTTTGTCTTCG